AGCTGACAAATATTCCCTTAAAGCTTCACATGCAGACTAAACACAGTAATTATTACAAATATCATTTCAATCGTCGAATACATGAAGTGATAGAACGTAGACGCTGTGTTCAGAGCTCTTCTTAGAGCACAGTCCTGCTCCTGTGAGCTTCACCTCCACCTTCAGATCTTGCCGTGAAAGTCGGATCTCCTTGGCGAGCGCGACTCGCTCGCGTCTTGGTACGAGGCAGTTAGCTGTTGGAGCACCTCTATCCCCTGGAGGAACCAGCTGCTCTCTTGTTTTTTGACTCTCCACAGGCTGTTCTCTCTCTCCATGCAGCCTCCCAGGGGATTTACATGACACCTGCTGAGCTTAAATGGAGGATTCTCTTCTTCTTCAGAGCAACAACAATTTTCATTCACCCATCTGTTTAGGAAACAGTTATGATGCCTGCTTTTGACTCTAAGCATGCCAGCAATGCTTCCTAAACTGCAAGCACGAGCCTCTTTCATCTTGTAGCATGTGATGAAGCCTGTTTTATGTCTTACATGGATGGTGCCATTTGCTACCTTTCCTCAAGGTTGAGGTAGACGCAGTAACGGAGTAATGGGAGCGAGTGCATAAATTATCCATACCTTCAGGACTGTTCTCATGTTTAGCTGATTGGCTCATGAGACAGCGAGTAGATTTTCCTCAGGTGCTGTCAATTTGCAGCCTTTTTCCTTCCTTCCTCCTCCTCCATCCTCTGGTCTCTGTTCTCCCTCCGTCATTCACCTTTCCCCGTCGGCAGTGTCACGTAACAACGATAACATCTCTGTCAGAGCAGGAGGAGCTGATGAGGACCCACCTCGAGAGACAAGCGTGTCCGCATCACATCTGTTTAAATGACCTCCTTCGGCCTCGCACACCTCGCTGACTCCAAACCAGCAGAGCTGTTGCTGGAATTGGACCCCTGTGCACTGTTGCATGCACACACACACACACACACACACACACACACACACACACACACACACACACAATCTATTTTTAGATCTGTTTTTCCAAATATTGGGCCATATTGCAGAGAGGTGCAGTCACCGGTGTTTGTTGTGAGTGTTGCTTATTACTTTATCTGCTGCTCCTCTGATGGTCACCTTCAGAATACACAATGAGTTTATTAGGTGATCCACAGAAAACTGTAATATTGGTACTAATATAATAATCATAAGCTGTTGCCTATGAGCAGGAGGAAGATCGTTCCACTCCATAAGTAACTGATTTAGTCTGATTCCTTTCAGTCCAACAGTAGTGAAGGATTCATACACATTATTTGCTTTTGCAGATTACATCAGTTGTTTTGAGCTATGACAACTTTCTAATAAAATGATGTCCGACCAACAAACTAGATTAAGTTAGAGGCATTAGCTTTCTTTCTTAAACTGCTGAAATCTCTTAAATGTATTTTTAATTAGCGCTCTGAAATCGGAGGGGACCTGAAATCCTGATCTGAAGGCGAAGAAAAATGACGTCATCAAACCCATTGTATTAAGTTACCTCTGTTTAAATTTAGTTATAAATCAACGAACTCAGAGGTTTGCGATTAAATTACACACAGTGTTAAGTTGATGCAATTACCAACATTATTATGTCGACACAACGTATCACAATGATGTTGATGATTTATTTATTTATCGCTATATTAAGTATTACAAGTAAAGTTCTGCACTGAAAACATAACGTAAAACTATTAAGGCATTACCATGAAAAAATTCTGAACGTAATAAAAGTGTTAGTGCATAGTACAGAAAATGCCCCCTGAGACCGCTATGTTCTTAATACAGTAAATGATATCATTAGATCATTATTATTGATCATGCATGAATGTAAAAGCAATATTTTAATGTTGTATTTGGTTAAAGTTCAACTCAACTGTTTTACCTTCAGCTCAGCTAAAGATTCTTTTTATTGTGAATTTATCTGCTTATTATTTTCTCCATTATTTATTGATTGTTTGGTTGGTTTGTGAAAATTCTGAAAATAGTCAGCAATGCCGTCACAACCGTTATCAGAATAGTTTTCTGTCAGTCAACGAACTGATTAATCAACGTATCGTTTCATTTGTGCTCATATAAATTGTTGGGTAGATTCATCGGTAACAAACACAACTTCTTCAAATGATTTCTGTAAAAAGGTAGCTGTCACATAAATGTAGTGAAGTAAAACACACTAGAAATGCAATATTTCCATTTGAGATGTACTTAAGTGGAAGAAGAGAGCGGCATGAATAGAAACAAGTGCCTGAATTTCCAGGTTAAGTTTCAGACTTACTCAAAAAGTGAAACGACAGGTGTGAATTTGACAGAAATAACCAGTGAGATCCGTCAATCAGAACTGACTGTTGAATCCAAAATATGAAGAAACCTGTCTTCTCATACAGTCCACATAGCAGACTAAAAGCAGGGCTTAATGTGAGCTTTCCGTTTTCGTTTCTTGATAATTCTACTTTAAAACATTCGACTTAGCTCCTTTTGCTAGTTTTTAAAAATGTTTTCGAATGATTAGTGTAATTAGTCAGATTAGTGTGTTCACTCTGATGGTTTGTTGACCAATTTATTGAACTGAAAAAAATAATTATGTCAAAAGTCTCCACACTCATATTTTCAATTTTTATTTAATTGTAGCTGCCGGTAAAGTCAAACTGTGCTCGCGAGTACTAAAATCAACGCGCAGAAGTCAACGAGAAAGGAAGAGAAGTCAAGGGAACAGATGACAAGGTTGCACGACCAGATTGGGGGGAAAAAAATGGCCGGTTTCTGAACACACAGTAAACAAACAGCGACTCTAATTACTGTTCTGTGGCAGAAGGACAGCACAGCAACGTAATGTTTAGCTTCACCACATGGCTGTTGACGGGTGGAAGTGGGAGAAGGTCACGGCCGGGCCATGTGGATGCTATAAGCCGAGAAGGGGAGGGAGGTGTGAGAGAGATGGTGTATAATCTGAAACAGGGCACATGAAGCAGGTGCAGTGCGCCGCGCTGCAGACGGGGGGCGTTGTAGGACCTGGTAATCTGGAGGGATCCGGCAGAAACCGTGCGATGAGGTCCCCGCCGCCAGAGCTTCAGCGGTCGCTCTCCCTCACTCGCACTTCTTCCCTTCCCGTCTCTCTTCAGCCTCAGTGTTTCTCAGCCACTCATCCTGCCGCCGCTCTCCTCCTCCATCTCTACTCCGTGGAGTGCACAGAGAAGTGATTCGGCTCGTGGGCTGGCTGGCTGGCTGGCTGGCTGGCTGGCAGGCAGGCAGTGTCTAGATTGGGCAAACAGAGGCAGAGTTGAGGACCTGAGGGACAGGACAGTTGTGTATTTGTGGGGGGGGGGATTCCAGCGGGAAAGATCCGGCGCAAGATTTCCTCCAGCGGAGACTATTTGCATCACAAAACCTGTGGAAAGAGGACTGTGACACTGTACTGGCTGCACAACCGCTGTCCGCGCAAGAGGTGCCATTTAGTGTGTTAATTCAGTGTGTGCGTGTGTGTGTGTGTGTGATTTTGAGTGTTCTCACCTTTTCAGTATGCACATTCATTGGCTTGGCTTCTTTTCTCATGCAAATGCAAATTGGCAGGTTGTGCTGCTCCACAGCTTTGACAGAGACACAGATGCAGCCGGTCTCTGTAATTCAGGTTTGCATGATTAGAATGCAACGCTCTGTGAATTAGTTTCGGATTAATGCATGTCGCCGCGCGTGTGTTTGTGCGCCTTTCCAGAACACACGAGTGAAGAACCAGAATGTCCTAAATAATTGATCTCCCCAGTACGACGGAAAACTTCCAAACTAGGTTATTGTTGAATTAATGCTCCTGCTCATTATGTTTCTGCCTGAGTAGTGCCTTTATAGTCAGTTGCATGTTTGGATGCGTCTACATGTGTGTGTTGTTGACATGGACGCTATCATGCTTGGATGTCATTGCCTCAGGTTTGCATGGGTGGGAAAAGAAGAAGGGAGGGGAGGAGGGGGTGGGGGGCTAAATGCTGTGTGGCACTGAGCCAAGTTGCTGATTTAAACAGGATATTGAAGGTTAGACGAATGTCTTTCCAGCCGGTGCACCCACTCCGTCTGCTTCTTTACTTCTATGCAGAGGAGCAGCAAGAAGGACAAGTGTGTTGGTTAAAGCAGGAGGAATCCCTTAAGTAACATCAGTCAAGATGCCCCCCCGTCCCTCCTCCCCTCATCCGTCCTGTCCTGCCTCCATTTCAAATGTGATTATAGGAGTGTGTGGCAGAATGGATGGATGGGGTATTTGTCGGGGAAAGGGGTGAGGAGGGGGGATGGAGTTGATGCTTGTTTTAGCTTGCCCCTTTCTACGCCCCCGTGGGATTTGCCCCGGCCTTCCATCTCTCTTATCCCTCGCCTCTCTGTCGTCCCTCCATCACCGTTTTTTCTTCCTTATCCTTGGTCGTGCTGAGCCAGCGAGATTTACTGGTTTTAAGTGGGAGTCCATTCACAGAACTGGGACTGCTGGAAAGACAGAGGGGGGAGGGGGCAACCAGGTGAGGATGAGGAGAAAGGATGTAATAATAAAAAAAAAAAGCCCCCCAGTGAGAGGGGAGGGGGGAGTCCGTGGGTGATTTATGTGTAGACATTTCTCCACACGTGTTTGGCCACTGCTCCAATTAACACCTCCACCAATCCGTGGCTGCGCTTGACAGATGCTCAATCTGAGAAAGAGAGCGCAAAGTCTGTTCGTTAGTGTTTGTTTTGTGGAATTTTAGAGAATTTCAAATTGTTTACTGCTGTTTTCTCAGAGATTCTGGGTCATTTGTCGCTTGGATCTTCCTCCGCTTCTTCCCAAGTTTGAAAATGCAACAAAAAAAAAGGATAATTCACATCAGCAACAAATCCAGCTGTCCCCGTTCTGAGCGAGGACTGATGAGGCTCTTTAATTCTAAAGGAATAAAAAAAACGTTCCATTCATGTTGGAGTGACTGATTGGATTTCGATGTGATGGTCAGATTCTGATTGCTGGTCTTTGTGTTCCTCCAGGGGGCGTGATAGACAAGGACCTGCGCCACTACCTCAACCTGCGCTTCCAGAAAGGCTCGGTGGACCACGAGCTGCAGCAGATCATCCGGGACAACCTCTACCTCCGCACCGTCCCCTGTGAGTTCCCTTGTCCTTACTCGCCCTCCTTTTGTCCACCCTTATCTCTGCTCACCTCCTTGAGTGAGACACTATTATTTTTCCTTTTGCCAAGGCTGGATTATCAATAAAGCCAAGTGTGCAATTACAAAGGGGGGCCATAGACTCCAGGGGCGCCAAGAGCTCCAGGTTCACTGTGTGGCAGGCTGTTTGTGGTAATTTGATTAATGAAAATTTTGAGTTGTAAGACGGATAAAACAGGAAATGGTCATAATCAGAGCAGCAAAGGGCAACATATGAAGCTATTAAGGATTTCACAGAAAACAACATCTTTCATTTCACCTTCTCTGCCTCATAAATTCCCACTTCTGGTAAACCGCACACCTCCAGCTTGTAACGCGGGCTTTCTGCCATAAATTATGGAGCTTAAGATATGTCTGACATCGCCGTGGCATCGTCAGGGTTATATTTTCAAAATTTGAAAAGCCCCCTCTGGAGCTTCAGAGCACAGAGTAATTCTCCTCACCACATATAATGTGACTCAAGGAAATGCATATTTATCTACACTCACTTAAGCTGAGCTCATACTGCAGGAGTTTTAAACTCTTAACAGATTTTGGAGTGGAGTTGCATCTCGCACATAACATTTTACAGATATTCCTCTCTCTAATCTCAGATATGCACACAGGATTCAAAAAATAATGATGCATCTCGCCCTACAGGACATTAATAAGACTATTGTGCCTGAGGGAGCAGAGCACCACCTCATGTGATCTCACGGGGAAGCAGATGTAAACAAAATGGAGACTGTGGTGCAACAGCTTGCAGTAACACTAATGACACTTTGCAGTGAAAAAAACCCTGGATGAGAAAATGTTTGGGAAGACGGAGTCACGTGGTTCGTCGACACTTTAGCAAGATTACATTTTAAGTATTAACAGTTGTTGCCTAAAGAGCTCGAATGTTTAGTGTTTGCTTTGCGTCCTCTGCTCTGGCACCGACAATCACAACCGTCAACTCATAAATATCAAGCGTATTTGCTTTTATCAGGAGGATTAAGACTGAATCTGAATCTGGAAACCCCTTCACATTTCCAAATATTCTAAGCCAAACTTCCAAGATCTCCAGATTTCTCCTTCAAATGACAGAAGAGGGCAAACCGGGTAAATCAGCCTGAAACTCCTGTAGTGTGAGCCCAGCTTTCGTTTTTATGGAACCTATCTGCAGATGAACACAGTGTGATGTGATCTAAAGCTCAAAAAGAAGCAATTAAGTAGACCTTGAGTTAAGGGTGTGTGGTCATAACTTAGTGTCATTAAGCAAACGTGAAGCCTGGTAAGTTGCTGTGCATTGACGAGTAACCGAAGGCAACAGGGACGTATACATGCACAGAATTTGGGAGGACTGTGGCTTCCCGATAGGTGGATCCAGCTGTGCTTCCTGCTTGGTTCCTCTTGTTTTTGAAGCTCAGGGTGTGTTGAATATGCCGAACTTTCCATCTAACGAGATGTGATATCTTCTTCTTCCCCTGTTTGCTTCGTTCTGTTGGTTCCAAAGCTCCCAGATACCTGCCTGCGCGCTGATCGATCAGCTGCTTGGAGTGTTGGTTTAGCCGGAATCAGTCTTGTCTGGAAGTTTCGACTCTTTAAAACCAAGCGTTGACTGCAGCTTTCTGTCTCTAATTAGCTGCATTAACTGCCTTACAAGAGCACACGATTGTAACGGAGTGTTGTGTAGACAATCAAAGATAAGGCTTGGAGGACTTTACGCTATTGATGCTCGGTGTTTTTAGTTCAGGATTGCTTTTCAAACCGAATGCTTATCTAGGTCTTGGATGCTGTGTGTGTTATTAGTGTGTGTGTGGCCTTTTTTTAGGTTTATTAATCCCGGCAAGTGCTTCTACAGACTCAGACGTACAGATGTTTAATCCATATTCTTTTCCATTTATTTGCTGAATATATGCTCATTGCCATCAGTCAATAAGTTGTGATATTAAAGGGTGTCTGTTTGTGTGTGTGTGTGTACAAGCTCTTATCTGTGTATAGTGTGTGTTAGCCTGGCTGTGCCATTAGGCCCAGCTGTCTGGTGGCTAACTCTCCCCTGAATCCTTAATGGAGGTGCATTTTTCAAGGCCAGGAGCAGGCAGATTTCTGTTTCCCTCGCCGAACAGAATACAGCAGGAGAAACAAACAAAAAAAAAACAAGCAATTTATTTGCAACACAAGCATAATTTTCTGTGATAACCACTCATGGAGACACTGCCGGTGAAGCACTGAAGATAGAGGAGGAGGTGAAGAGTAAAGGGTGGGAACAAATAGGAGAACAAATAGAGGTAGAGAAGTACAAAAGGGAATGAGGGGGAAAGGGGAGGACGATGATAGGGACACCGGCTATAATAACCACATGAGGAAATGGACCGCAGATAAACTATTGAAGAGAGAGAGAGAGACAGAGAGGTAAAGGAAGGTTAACTGGTGCATTAATGAAGCTTCAACAATGGGCCTCAGTGCTGCTGAGAGGAGGAGACTTCGTCATGACTGAGCTGGGCTTTTTATATCTGGACAGATGGATGGATGAGGAAAATGTATGCTAGTGAAGTTCGCACAGAATGCATTGTGATTACAAATCAATTAAACTGGTCAGACAAGATCTAGTGCCGGTGTTGGCTCGCACTGTGATTGGATCTCAGGTGTAAATGCCGTTTGCACAGCGTTCACATTCTTATCAAAAAAATCCACCAAACCGAGCTAAGATAAGACGCCGACCCATGTACAGGGGCTACAGTCCCCGACGCAGCGGCCGCGGGTCGAGTCCAGCCAGTGGCGTTTCCCTGTATCGCTTCACTATCCTGTCAAATAAAGATGAAAAATTCCCAAAAATAGTCCTAAAAAAAAAAAAAAAAAGAATCCACCATACGACTTCAGATTTCACCTTAGCCTGAGCAGATGTCATTACCCAGATTGTGGATGATACAGCTAATTGTTAATCAATTAATTGCTGTTAATAATTTAATCAATTTAAATTTTATTAACTGATAAGGAAGTAGATGAGGGACACACATATCAGGAAACGGCTGTGTCCGAAATCACTCACTATACCCTCTATAGTGCATTATATAGGGTGTTCGCCATTTTGTAGTGCTGTCCAAATGATAAGTTACTATTGTTACTCAAAGTATCCCACAATGCACCAAGAAAAGTAGTGTACAGCCGATGGTCACTAACAAACCAATATGGACCATCATGCATTGTGCAAAAGGAAATGCAAACTTGTCGAACGAGACCGCGAAAACTTGTCATTAAAATGTAAGTAATTTCAGGTTTTGTTAAATTTTACTTTACCCGTTTCTTAGCTATGCAATAAACTGTGAAGTTGATGTGTTTGCACTATGCTGCTACGGCACAAATTGCAGCTCACGAGCGACGTAATTAATAGCTTGAGTAGTGTCTGAAATGTTATTTTGCCGAGGTGCTCCCTATGTAGTTTACTATATAGTGATCCTTATATAGTGAGTAGGGAGTGAGTGGATGATTTCAGACAAAGCCAACCTGTTGTAGATGAACTGTAGTATCTGGTCGCCCCACCAGGTGGAGCCTCTTACTGTGTCATGAGATGGAGTTACAGGTGTGCTTGCTGACTGCCTGTAAGGGTCCATAAAACAAGCACACCTCGCTGCTGTCCAACCTCCAACATGTACTGCATCAAGTTGTGAAACAGGTGTTTGGCAGCTGTCTGGTTTAGCTAGCTACCTCAGGCTCGTGCAGTTGCTTAACTACAACATAGAATTCTAACACAGGCTGGGAACTAAGCAGCTAACATGCAGCAGCAGCAGCAAGACTCTTGATTCCATGCTTCCATCAACATTGATGCGAAAGTGTTAAAGTGTATTAGCGACACTCCGCTTTGGATATAAATACATTCTGGAGGCAGCTCTAAATACTGACAGATTTCCTGGACTGAAAAAGTTGCTGGAACAGTATTTGTTGACATCTGTTGCAGCAGA